GAATTCAGCAGTTATGGTATCATAACTAAGAGAATACCTCTGTAGCTAAATTAACACATCCAAACGGTGAAGCTGACGATCACGTAAGAGAGAGAGAGAGAAAGAAGGAGAACAGTATAGATTACGACAACATTTCGTTAACGACAGGTGCAAATTCTCACGCTATCAGTGAGCTGTTCATTTTGCAGTTAGTGATTATCTGGTGACCATTCCAGAGCCTCGGGTGCCAGACGCACGTATGGGAGAACATTTCCGAGGAAATGCAAACTAGCAGTCACGAAAAATGAGCACACCCCTCTGCCATGGATGGGATCGGAAACAAAATCCCCTATGAAATACTGTCCCATCAATTATAATATTGACGGCCGAAAATTCATTGCACGCATCAAGCGCGTTTTGAAGGACAGTTTAAAAGCAGCATGAAATAGTCAGGGTGGTTACTATTCCTCCCCTCCCCCGCTCGGTCACACCCCGCGTTCGATTTGGAAGTTTTGTCAGCAACGTCAAAGTGTAAGATTAGTTTGAGCAAGGTCCTATACTTATTGTAGGTTCATTCATTCAAATTTTACAAACCATACAGGAAATTATACTACTCTGAAAAATCCACTTCACCAGCCACCGTAGTCTTCTTTCGTCTTTGCACACTTCAGCACTTGCATACGACAATTCGATTTTTCACTAGATTACTTTAGGGAATGTACCAGCGTAATCGATCTATCTGTTTACTACATTCGAAGTTCCGGGTAGCCTGACTGACCTTTGTGTTCCTCGTATGCGTTGCGGGGTTCGGTCCGCGGATTTGTTCATCTCGAAAACCACTCCATTCACAGCCACGGTGGTGACATGGTGACTGCTTTGCGGCTGGTGTGTTGATGCTTTTGAGTGAACCACGACAAGTACCAATTTGAAGCATATTGTCCGCATTTCTGATGATGAAGCCTAGTTTTCACTTGATGAAAATTAATAATGGTGTCTCAAGCGGTGCGGTACTCTGATTCAAAGCGGAAACTGGATGACTGGTAGCAATTGCAGGGTTTTGGCAAATGAAAAGCTAGTATTAGATATTTTTAGAGGAGGACCGATGCTAGCTGTACAAGGTGTTGAAACCTTTTCATGAGGATTTGGTAACTCAAATCGCTTACAGAGCGTTTGCAAATTAGACCCACTTCTGGGACCAGTATTCTGTTCTCATTATAGCTACACACGCATCCATTAATAGTAGCATTTCTAAACAGGAAACCGACAAAAAACGAACAAGCGGCATCCAATTTTCTCCCTCCTCCTGGTAGGGAGAGCCCAAAATTCTTCATGACTGTTCATTTATAATCGCATGTGACAAGTTAACCCGGGGGCTTGCACAAACTAGTGGTCGGTAGATTGGGCTGCCCGTGGCAAAGTTAAGTACCCACCCATTCACAGGGTAATAATGGATAGCAGTACACTGATAGATCACACCGGTCTTTATGGTTGAAATGTACCGTATATCAACCACGTGGTCGGATGTGTCTTCTGAGCGAGTGTGTGTGTGTGAGAGAGAGTGAATTCAGCGCATTTACACTGGATCGGCTGTCACCACAGTCCCGATAAAACGCTATTAGCGGGCCGGTATACGCTCAGAAAGCTAGTACAGTGGACCTCCTCCTTCCAGGGGGGATTATACAACTAAGTGGATCGCATAGAATTGTTTACAAAATTGGTCTCAAATTTAAACCAACATTCGTCACGTATACTCAGTGTTCCTCAGATCCGTAACTATTGGTGAATAGCGTTGGATGTTACTGTGGGTAAATGGAACACACAACAAGTCTGATATGATTAGAGCATTTATAGATAATCAAGCGTCGGACAGTTAGGTGATTCAGTTTTCAGTTCGGACAAGCGGTGCAAAGAGAAGGTGTAGACTTTAGTTTTCGTTATAAGGAGGGATGTGGAATAGTTGTGACCCTTTAAATGTAATGGGAATCATTGTGATGACCAACCACGTGCACTGGACGGCTGTATCGCCCTGGTTGGTGGGACTCGCCAGTGGTGCGTACGTTTTCTATCCGTGTCAGGACTCGGGCAAGGGAACATTCAAGTTGGGAGTCACCATCCTAATCCTTGAGTTGCATGGTTCAAACCGGAGTAAAAAGCTGGCCAGATCTCTGTGTCGGTTAGCACAAACCTTTCCGTCGCAATTAAATGCATTCGACTTCGAACGGAGTGAAACTCACACCCTAGGTCATCAGCAGTGCCTGGTGCCTGTGAACAATCGAATGGACTAATTCGCCGCCTGAACCTATGAACTTTGTTGAGAAAACGCTCACTTTCTCAGTAGCAGCATATTCGTAAACACATATGGACAGTATCTATCCACTGTAGAGTAAGATTGCTTCCCGTTGATCTTTGTTTCTATGTACCAGTAAATTGATTTGTTTAATTACTCTCCACACCCTCCCCCCCGCGCCCCCACCACCCTTTGACTTCACTCCGTTCTGCATCCCGTGCGACAACAGTGGTATCACAAACGAAGATCTATCGAAACGGTTGTCTATCGAAGTATGGGATTGGGATCGTACCTCACGGAACGATTTCATGGGCTCTTTCTCGTTCGGGGTGAGTGAGGTGATCAAGGAGCCCGTGTCCGGTTGGTTCAAGTTGCTCAATCAGGAAGAAGGTGAATTCTATGCCCTGCCATGTATCGACGAGGCCGGTGCCGCGATTTCCGAGTTACGGAAGCGTATGGAGGTAAAAATAAAACTCCTATTTGCTCTCCTTAGGTATTATCATCTTCCCTTTTACCGGACGGTTGAACAGGAAGATGTTTGTTATTTCGTTTTCGTTTGACAAACTCATTTCGCTGAATCTGTTTTGAGGAGCAATTCTACAGATTTTGTGATAGATTAACCTTCACAAGCGTGTAGAATTTACTAGCTTACGCGAAAAGACTGAATCTTAACGTGGCGTGATGGGTTTGTCTGCTCCTCCATGATACAACGAGCTACACAATATGGCTTTTATCAAGCCCGGAGATATTCTCATAGCAGGACGGTTAGGGAATATAGGTCGGATAAAGTTCAATCTCCTGGTCCTCCAGATTAGTGAATGGGGCTGGAGGAGAACCGATTTTCAATGCTTTACTCCAGAGAAATGTTTGAACTTGTGACTGGATCGGTAACTGTGACAGGTTCACAACTTTATGCGTTTCACTGTAACTGCATCTAAAACCTTTGACAGCTCCAACTGTGATCTCTTTTTCGTGTAATAATTCTTCATTTGGAGGCATTCGAACGACGAACGTAATACTCGAACAGCGACCCCGACTGGACACTATTTCTTTCCGTGCTGTTTTGGATACCGTGTGTGTGCATCAAATCCAACCTGCTCATATCGATCGATGTTCACGTCTTGGGGAGGAGGGCGGGAGGGAGGGAGCTCTGACAGGAACAGACCAACCAACTGCGATCTGACCGGTGAGATAGGGGACGGTGAGAAAAGAATTAGCCAGGTCGCGAGGTCAACGGATCAATTCAGTCCGCTGTCCGTGTTCAAATACAATTCATACTTCGATTCACCGAATTCGATGAAGGGTTGTGTATTGTTCATTTTCTCGGATTTTGATGTTAAATAAAATGATTTAATTAGATGATGAATTCGTTGTGTAAATGAGGCGTGATCGGAAAAGCGGGGAAGTACTGAACTTACAAATTAAACTATAGATGAAACGATACATATTGTACTCAACGAAAGATGAATACCAGAACAGGCAAGCGTTACTTTGACGGACATCGCAGATGAATGGCACAGTGGTTTAGTTGCTGTCGCCGGCGTGCTTTGGTCCGGGGTTCGAGCCCTGCTACCGCCACCCAACTTTGATGGTAGGCATCTTTACGGTCGTCCGGACCAATACCACATCTAACCTATCGGGGCCTTAGGTGGTTTGCCACTCCAAGTTCCGGGAATTAGGTTACCGGTTTCCATCACTGAACAGCAGCTCCTCGTGACTATAGGGCTTTCCCCGTCTGTTGCTCATTACACGAAAGTGTGTAATCCAAAAAATATTAGGAGTAATTTTTCCTTTGAAAATAACAAAGGCAACCGAACCGTAGTCCAAAACCCCGTGTTGACATCAGATCAGTCATAGATTGTCTCATTTGATCAATTACCTACGCAATTTCCATGCAAAAGAATAATCAGGTGGTGGTGACGTCACCA